ATGGCATGGGATGGAACGAGATATAGAATAGAAAAGAAGAGAATAGAGAATAGAATAGAATAGAATAGAATAGAATAGAATAGAATAGAATAGAATAGAGAATTCTTTATTGGCCAAGTGTGTTTGGACACACAAGGAATTTGTCTTCAGTGTAAATGCTCTCAGTGCACATAAAAGAAAAAATACATTCGTCAAGAGTCAAGAATCATAAGGTACGACACTTAATGGTAGTCATAGGGTACAATAAAAGCAATCAAATCATACTAGGAAGCAGTCCATATAAATCGTAACCATTAACCATTTCAAGATTGAATGGTTGGACTCTCTTTGCTCTTAATTCACCTTACATCGGTTAAATGCCTGTTTGTATGAAGGGTGGCCTTGCCCGTTCCGGGTGAGAAATGTGGACTTAAAAGGAGGGGGTGGCGAAAGTGCCCCTCCCTTTTCACAATGCACTGCAGCTGGATGCGCCTGCAGGCTAAAGAGCTTCCCAGATTTGGGCATTTGGTTGAAACTAATTTTGCCAGCTTAGGGAATTTAGCAGAAGAGCCCCACCTTACAGATCTTACCGATTAACGGAGTTGGAAGGGACCTCTAGGTCATTTAGTCCAACCCCCCCCACCCCAACCAGGGAGGAGACCCTACACCATTTTTGACAGATGGCAGTCCAGTCTCTTCTTGAAAGCCTCCAGTGATGAAGCTCCCACAACATCTGAAGGCGACTTCTGTTCCAAGGGTTGATTGTTCTCACTATCAGAAAGTTTCTCCTTATTTCCAGATTGAATCTCTCCATCAGTTTCCACCCATTATTCCTTGTCTGACCTTCGGGTGCTTTAGAAAATAGTTTGACTCCCTCCTCTCTGGGGCAGCTCCTCAGATATTGGAAGCCTGCTCTCCTGTCTCCCCTGGTCCTTCTCTTCCCTAGACTAGCCAGGTCCAGTTCCTGCAACCGTTCTTCATATATTTTAGCCTCCAGTCCCCTCATCATCCTGGTGGCTCTTCTCTGTACTTTTTCTAGAGTCTCAACATATTTTTTTATAGTGTGTTGACCTCCCTTCCCCCTCCCTGGTTCCCTTCCTTCCCCCAATATCTGGCTCTGGAACCCATTTAAGCCTTTATGACAAACCAACTTGGAGGATTGGGGAGCATTTCGCTGCTTGCTTACATCTATTCTGCTATAGAAGCTGCAGATGCTTTTAAATAAGATCCTTAATATGCAAGTTCCTTGGCCATTTCCCCTCTTGCTAAATGATGCACTGCAGCTTCAAGAGGATGGGCCTATTATTGCTGAAGTTAGCATCTTCCATCCCTTAAATAATCAAGGAAAGAATAAAGTGGTTTTCATCGGAGAACAGCTTTTGTTGCATAAAAGCATTTGTGACACGAGACACGATGCAGATGAATGCAGATTTATGAATATAGATCAATGAAGTCTTGTCAACTGGGAGGAGGCCAACCGTTCTAACCTGTTGAGTACAAAACTCCTTGGCTTCATTTTCTACTGGTATCTATGGTTACCTGAATTAATAGGAGGCCAGGTTTATGGACGCATTAACTTAAATCTTCTATTTTTAGAATGAAAAGATTTAAATGAGCAAATTAATCAGGCAAGCTTACGAAACAGCTCCATGGATTTCAAACAGCTCCTCCAGTAGAGCCTCTTTAAAAACCTGTGAAAACATTCTGCAGGTTTTGATGGATGGTCAGTTCTTGGGGCATGTATTTATTTATTTCCCCCCCACCAACCAGGACAATAAGAAGTAAAAACAAAGCTGCACCTTGAATGGTTGCTGGGGTGGATGGACACGCCAGAGAAAGTGTGTGTGTGTGTGTGTATGTGTGTGTGTGTGTGTATTTCAGCTGAAACCAGGTTAAGGGAGACCACACAATACACACAGGAACATGACGGTTTTGTGTAACATTTAGGAAACTCGCATTCGTCCTGTGGAGAAAGAGGCTGGGGGAAAGGCCAACCTTTTCTCCGTGATCAACCCTGAGCCCGGCGAGGCCGCAGCTCGGATTTTCCAAGCAGAAAGCCAGCAGGATCTTGGCAAGTGGATGGAAGCTTTCTCGCAGCACTTTTTGGATTTCAGTAAGTTGGCTCTTCCTTTTTCTCCTGGTTGGAGGAAAGTGCAAACACCTACGGTTGCCTTTGCACAACAGCCCCAACATTTGCAAAAGCCCCCCCCCCATCTTTCCCACAGCAATAATGGAATCTGACAAAACTGACAGAATCTGGCTTTATGGAGGCCCCCTCAGAGGGAGGGCCCGAAAGCCCAAATAGCAATAGCACTTATACTGCTTCACAGTGTTCCTTTTTTTTAAAAAAAATGTTTTATTGGGTTTTTAAAACAAACAAACAAACAAAACATAAAAACATCAAATCATCTTCCATATATGTACATACAGCATGCCGGTTGGTTTACAAATTGTTTTGTGCTTCCATTTCATAGTCTTCAATTATAATTATATTGTATATAATCTTGTATTTTCAATCAAATACTAAATACATTAATATCATTATTAATCATTTGACTATACTTTTATTCATTCATGTTTTACAAAATGATCATATTTTACTGTGGGAATTGCTATCTGTTTCCTCGCGCGCGTGCAAGGACAACGGGCCTTCTGGTAGTTGTTTGTAACACGAGGCGAGGGACAAGGTCGAAATGTTGCCACTTCTTACCCAGAATTGTAGCAAACTTAAACTTTACAGCTTTGTATTCTCATATGGTATTTTGTGTGATGTAATGAGTTTGTAACAACACACTAACAAAAAATTGCAAACGTTAACAAAGATTGCTTCTAATAAAAGAGGGTGTCAGAGCTTGCCCTGTGCTCTCATCCCGATTTGGCTTCAAGACGACTGCCTCAGTGTCTTCATTCATGAGAGACCACCACATTTTACTTAATTTGTTTTATGACAATTCATATTATCATCCCAGATCTATCCTAGAATCATTTTGTAGATATAATAAGAAAAGAATACATCTTTATATATTTATTATTTTCTAAAAGTCTACATATTTCATTACTATATTTTATTGTCTAACCATTGATAGAATAGATCCCAAATTTTATAAAATTATTTATCCTCTTGTTCTCTAATTTCAAATGTCAATCTACTCATTTCAGCACATTCCAATATTTTCTTAATGATTTCCTCCTGTGATGGTATTTTCTCATTTTTCCAGTTTTTAGCAAATACAATCCTAGCTGCTGTTAATACATTTACAATCAGGTATTTCAAGTCTTTACTATATATTTTAGGTAAAATTCCCAATAAAAATACCTCTGGTTTCAAATCTATATGTTTTTTTGTCATTTTTTTCCAACCACGTGTGGATTTTAGTCCAGTATTTTTTAGCATCTGCACAAGTCCATCACATATGGTAATATGAGCCAGGTGTCTGATGACATTTCCAACATTTTTCGGATTTATTCTTGAACATTCTTGCTATTCTTTTCGGGGGGAAATGCCACCTGTAAAACATCTTATATAAATTTTCTTTATATGCTGTGACATTGTCATTTTATAATTTTGAGACCACAATTTTTGCCATTTCTCTAGATCAATCCCATATCCAAAATTCTTCCCCCAAGCAATCATAGTTTCTTTAACTTGTTCTTCTTCTAGTTTAATTTCTAATAAATATCCATACAATTTTTTAATCACCTTTTCATCAGTACCTGTCAAAATCTTATCTAAGTCAGTCAGTTTATCATAGAAACCTTCTGTTTTAGAATCTTTATCATACCTTGAATGTATTTGCGCATATGGAAACCAATTCATCTTTATACCTTGTTCCTCTACTTTGAAGATACAAATAAACCAAGTAGATGGTTAGCATATAAATTGAGAAAGGAGAAAGAATCAAGAAAAATATTGCAATTAATAGATGACCATTAAAAGAGAATAATTATATCAAACTTAAACAGCAGATAGCGCTAGATCTGGCAAAATGGGAAAATTTACAACTGTCACTAATAGGGAGAATTTCAACAATCAAGATGAATATATTACCCAAAATCTTATATTAGTTTCAAACAATTCCAATTAGGCTTGGAAAAGACTACTTTGAAGATTTAAATAAAATTGTGTTGAAATATATATGGCAAGGTAAGAAAGCGAGAATAAAGTTAAAACTTTTGCAAGATGCTAGAATAAGAGGAGGATTTGGTTTGCCTAATTGGGAGTTGTACTATCAAACTACAAATCTGATGTGGGTTAAGGAATGGATAACACTTAGAAATACTAGATTGTTGACATTAGAAGGACCTGATTTGTTGCTGGGATGGCATGCTTTTTTATGGTATAAAGGAACTAAAACACAGGGGTACTTTAGAAGTAGTTAAACTGGGAGAAGATTAAAAGACAATGTTATTTGAAAATTCCAGTCTGGCTATTGTCTATTGAAGCATTTTCTTATCCTATAATATACAAAAAGGAACAAACAGTTAGATATGGTGAAATATTGAATGAAAAGGGTGAACTTAAATCCAGAAAGATCAGCAGTTTGGCGGTTCGAATCCCTAGCGCCGCATAACTGAGTGAGCTCCTGTTACTTGTCCCAGCTTCTGCCAACCTAGCAGTTCGAAAGCATGTAAAAATGCAAATAGAAAAATAGGGACCCCTTTGGTGGGAAGGGAACAGCGTTCCATGCGCCTTCGGGCATTTAGTCATGCTGGCCACATGACCACGGAGATGTCTTCGGACAGTGCTGGCTCTTTGGCTTTGTAACGGAGATGAGCACCACCCCCTAGAGCCAGGAACGACTAGCACGTAGGTGCGAGGGGAACATTTACTTTTAAGAGATGACCACCGTAGGGTGGTTCCTTTTACCCGCCAAGCATAAAAACAGTGCAATTATAAAAACAGTGATACACGTTTTTATGGGGGAAATGCCTCTTCTGAAACGGAACTGTGTTGGCTGCATTTGATGCTAGTATTTAAAAATGGAGACTCTGAACTCGGCCCCTTTCCTGTTTTTCTTCCAGGTCAGTGGAAGCACTGCTGCGAAGAGTTCATGAGGATGGAGTCGGGGTCCCCTCAAAAGCCACCCCTCTTCTTGGCCAAAGAAGCCACTTCGGTTTACCAAGAGCTGAGTAAGTCGGAGCTAGCGAGCAACTGAAGGGCCCCCAGGAGCAAGGCCAGCTCAGCCTTCGGAGCCAGTGGTGGGGTGCAAATTTTTTAACAACCGGTTCTCTGGCTGGTTGGGCATGGCCGGTGGGTCATGTGACTGGGTAGGGGATGTCACTCATCACACCCAACCCTGCCTCCCGGCCAATCATCTCAAAAGAAGAGATAGGATTCAGCCAGTCGGGGCTAATCCCACCACTGGCTGTCTCTGTCCCCACCCATTTTTCGGCCTGTTTTTTGAGCCATTTTTCAAACTGTTTTGGGGGCATTCTCAGGGTGTTTTTCAGACTGTTTTCAGGCTGAAAATGGCCGAAAAATGGGCAGGGGAAGGGCCAGCCAGTGGTGGGATTTGCCAGTTCGCCAAACTGCACCTAATCTTAACTACTGGTCCACCAGAACCAGTGCAAACCGGCAGCAGCCCACCTCTGTTCAGCCCTATCCAGCTGGGCTCTGCAAGGGCTGAAGGACAAGCAGGTGGACTCTTTCCTTTTGGGGGTGGTGGTCTGGGGAGATGAGCAACTTAGAGCTCATTAGGTAAAGGGGTCTTTGGGGCTGGCTGATTCCCCCCATTTTTGACAAGCCGGGGGGGCTTTTGATTTTTCTGGAGGTCTGGATTTTTCTTTAATTGCTGCCTGCGGTCAACAGAGGATCCAGAAACAAACAGACCATAATATTTTAGGATTGAAAGGGGCTTGGAGGTCATCCAGTCCACCCCCAAAGTGCGTCATTTTCAGGAGAAGCCAAGAACTAAAATGCCTATGTGGCAATATTATACGGTCAAGTTCTGCAAATGCCCCCCTTTTAAACTCGGCTAGTCTAGAACTATTATTTGCAGATATTTCTTGTGGATTCATACAAATTTTCAGAAGAGCAATGGTCCTGGCATAGAAATATTGCCTAGCATTTCCATTCAGGCATTATTAGGAAATGGTAATATTTTTTTTTCCCTCAGGTAATTTCTGCTGTTCGTGGACCATTTTTTAAAAAAGCTTTTCTTGGTAAACAAAGGAAGGGCCATTCCTGGGGGGGGGGGGTGAAGGTCTCATCGGTGGGGTCGGTGCTGAGGCCCAGCTCTCACTTTTGTGACCCTTTTGTGTTGTCTTTAATGTGCCAGGCATTGATTCACCGGTGAAGCCCGACCCTTTGGTTGCCATGGCTCAGCATGAGGAGGAGGAGGAGGAAAGCAGGGCGGCCTTGTTCATTGGCCCGGATGAGGGAGACGTGCCCGGTGGTTCTTCCCTGAAGCGGAGCAAGAGCAGCCCCCAAGGAAGCCGGGACGCCAAGGGAACAAGCAAAGGAAGGGAGCCCCCTCCCAGGTCCTGATCTGGCTCTCCGCAGCACTGTGGCCAGAGGGAAGCCTCCAAATCGCAACCTCCCGCACGCTGGCGCACTTCCTGCAGCCC